CTCTTTCCCAAGTCTGTCTGCAACCAACACTCACCCCTACAACCAAGATTTCAGGGGCCATAACGGGGGTGCAGCAGTAACACGGCATTCTGTGAGATTGACCCACATCAGAAGGTTCTTGGTTCAAATCCAGAGACCTCCTGCAATGCTCCAGGCACACAGCTGCCCATCATCCAGGGCTGGCTGGGGATGGCCAGGGCAAGGCCTAGGGGCGGAGCAAGGCTGAGAGCTCACAGGCAAAGAGGAGACACAGGGAGCCAAAGGCTGATACTGGCCATCCAGGACCATATCTCTACGTTGTGTGCCAAATAAAACTGCTTTTCATCACACTCAGAGCACCCTTACAGGGGCATTCTCTAGCCCACTAAGCAGTTTGGGAGCTTGATAGAAAAAACACTGATATTTTGGAGCCCACAGGTAAGTAGAATGGTGGTAAAGGTGCTGGATTCTCACATAGCCGACCACAGTTCGAGTCCCAGACCTGGTAGCTTGTTTCCCCACTTTCCCTTTCTCTCTCTCTGGTCAAATTTTAAAAATGATAATAACAACAACAAATGGAAATAAATAAATCTTTAAAAAGAAAAGAAAAAAATGCTGAGGTTTCATTTTGCATTGTTTAAACTTCTTTTGAGGATTACAATGCCATTCAGAAATCCTGTGTGACTGTCTGCTTCAGGTTAAAGTTCAGCGACTACACTTTCCACACAGAAGTTCCATTTGCTGCTTTTTTCTCCAAAACGCCCAGTCTTGTGAAGGGTTTTTTGTGCCCCCCTCTTTTTTGACCCCTTAGTGTCTAATACTGTTAGACATTTGCTTTCTGGTCTATATCGGAGCATTTTTTTCCCCCTGATTTCATAGCAGTCTAATTTTGATGTGTATTCCTTCTGCTGTTCCCATTCACAGTGGATTGTTTCCTTAAAATTCTGGATATAATCTCATATTCAGCAGATGGTACTGGCTGTTAGAATCATATTGAGTCTTGCCAGCACAACGTTAAAAGCCAGGTTATTGGAACCAGCACATAGCAGAGTGGTTAAGGCACTGTACTCCCACATAGTCAACTATGGTTCAAGTCCCAGACCTGGTGGCTTGCTTTCTCACTTTCTCTGTCTCTCTCTGGTAAGCATGTGAGCCCTAAAGCAAATTAAAAAATAATAATTAATAAAATTTCAAAAAAAAAGCCAGGGCTATGGGAAAGGAAGGGAGGGTACAAAGAACCCTCTCCCCAGCAAATGACCATTGCCTGGAGAAAATTACAAATCTCATTTGGAACAGCTACCCCCTTCCCCCAGCTCCTAGCCTAGGGCTACAGCTCCATTCAGGAAGGGGAGAGGCAGGCTGTCAGCACCCTTCCCACCCTGGTACCACCTCGCACAGGCTGAGGCTCTACTCCTAGCAGGTGAGGCCACAACTCTACCACAGGGCAGAAGCTCTACCCTACCCCCCCTCAATTCAGGAGAGGTTAGGAAGAGTGCCCTCCTCACAACTGCCCCCGGGGAAGAGGGGTGTCATCTGAGAGAAGCTGAAGCTGTTCCACTCCTATCTTTGGATCCTGGCGAAGAGTTCCACAGCTATATCTAAGGGATGTGGCAGCGCCGGTGCCTGAAAGTGTTGCTAAAGAGAAAGGAGAGCCAGGTATTGAATGGGCTCAGGGTCAGGGTACTAGTGGCAAAAGCAGAGCTAGCTGAGGTGAGACTAAGAGTACAGAGCCTTCCTGGGTCATGGGTAAGCCAGAGGTCCATCTGCACTCCATAGGAGCAACTAGAGCAGGGAAGCACAAAGCATAGCAGCCCCAGCAAGCATCACATTGGGTGGAGCCCCAGGCCCAGGGCTCAAGCACAACTGCTAAAG